TGGCTGCCAGTCAGCCATTTAGAAACTAATCGGAAAAATAAAATGAAATACATCAAGGTTTCATTATGTTCAATTTGTGTACCAAGTTTAAACTGAATCCATCCATGCACAATTGAGATTCGGTTCCGGAAAGATCCAAACATTAATTAATAAGTAAATAAATGCAGACTGTGTACTTACATTGAATTTTATAGTTGTACCTGTGGGAACATTGGCACCAAACCCACCAGCACCAAAAAGTCCAGCAGTGGGTGTTGTTCCAGTTTGTCCAAATGGTGCTGTGGCAGCCGTCTGACCAAACAGACCACCACTTCCTGCTGTACCTGAATGTAATGACAATAACAAAAAATTATACAATTACAGATGAATTGGGGTAGCCACAGTAAGTTACAAGTGAACGATTGTAAATATAATTTACTTTTACCACTGGTAAAAGAATTCTTTATTAGTCTTGCAACGTACACCTATGCCGTAAGTTAACCTTCATTTATTTGGCAATTGCAACCAAATTACCTCTTTCAGCTAATAACTGAAATTGCTCTTACAATTGCTTAACACTGACCACTTCACAAGTAATACACAGTTAAATTTAGTCCATATGTTCCTGCATACCAAAATAGTGAACAAATGACAAAACATTCCTTTGGACGCCTATGTTTTACCCCTTAATACCAAAAAGGCCTCAGAATACCTCCTAACTTAGTCAATAATCTAGACTTGTCAAATTTGCATGTTTTTAGAAGTGCACACATGACTGTATAATGATTACATGTGGTATAACTAACTTGTGATATAGATGTATGTTTGATTATATTAGCTGAACGCAATAAATTGAAGAAAAGGGTTCATAAGGCGTTAAAGTTGCACTCTGAGATCATTCAGAATTTCAAGTTTTATTGGAGAACCATAGATCATTATGTGTTATTAGTCTGTATTGGTTGACACAAATTGCAGGAAACTTTCATGTGTCAATGAATTCCAATGCATCCAAAAATTGGCGAGTGTTTCAAATTCTCATTATATTGTTTGTTTGAATTTCATTTGTTAACAAATTTGAATGGTGTTCCAATGTACTTAGACGCACAAAGGTTCGCCTTTGTTCTAAATTGAAAAATGGGCAAATCGGGAAAATGCTTTGAATATTATTCATGTACATGTATTTTCAAACTAACAAATATTTCACATCATAGTACCAATACCCAAATAAAGCTAATGGAATGACCTCAGAAAACAATTTAAAGATTTGTACAAATAATACAATCATTTACCTCCAAAATTAGCACCAAAGCCTGCACCACCGGCAGTAGATGTGGAGGGCGTGGCAAACAAACCTGTTGTACCCGTGGTGCCTGAAGTGCCAGCTGTTCCAAACAAACCTGTTGATTGGGTCTGTCCACCAAAGTTGAAACCACCGCCTAAGTAGAACACAACAAACAGCAAATTAATTATGTTATTGAGATCAGTCTAAAGAAGCCTTGTCTTCAGAACACTTTTTCAAATACACTGAATGTAAAACCATTTCAATTCTTGGGATTTGAGCATTTGATGGCAATAGTGAGGACAATTTTTTGTGAATATCACTGTGATTCATCACTATGAACCATATTATTGTTAAAATCAATAGGTGATTTTCTGTACAATTGCGAGATCTCGCGAGATGCATGAAAGACGCGCGTCGAACGTCTGCCGCAAAAATCGAACGATTTGATTTTGAACTCGAATTTCCTTATTTCGTAGCTCACACCGACCGGCCGATCTTCGACAGAGGAATATTGCTTCCGAATACCCTCACTTAATCGAAATTGCCTATCATTAAATGTGGACAGCACATTATTAAGCATGGAAATGTCCCCAAAATACTTTTGAGTTTGTCGAATCCCACGCGATGTTTGACGCGACTACGACGCTATGACCTTTGTTTGTCCCATATTTATTTAACCCATAATACCCAATATATTCACTGCTACAGCATTTTCCGAATTAGCGCCAAAATCATACTATGGCCAAGAGTTTCAACCAATATCGAGTTAAAGTATGACAATTTCATTATGGATGAATGTAGAAATATTCTGTAGGTTTCTCCAGATCTCATGTTCATGAAAAAATATCTCCCATAAACTAAAATGGTTCACAGTGTAACACACAAGGCAACACAAGCTATGAGCACTGCAAAAGTTTCTTTAGTTTTATTTCATATCATATTCATGAATTTTGTTTGTTTTTAATATAGGTAGCTTAACCCCTTTAAAGCTAAAGTCAGGATTTGCCACCTTTCACAAAATAATTCTGTGACCTGAGTGGAAGTCACTGTGACTCCCTCGGACCCATGTAAAAGTCACTATGACTGCCTAGGGCTCCAGTGCAAGTCACTATGACTCCCTAGAACCCCAGTACAAGTCACTATGACTCCCTAGGATCCCAGTACAAGTCACTATGACTCCCTAAGACCCCAGTGGAAGTCACCCCTGTGATTTTCTGTGATGTGCAAAATTCACGAAAATGCATCCCTCATTGAAACTAAAGCAATTTACAGTACTTTTGTGTAAATTTCATTTTCAAAAACAATTTATGATTTTTTACATTGAACCATGGTTAGATACAATCAATCACATACAGTTATAATGAGATGAAAAGTAGAAGTGTTGATTTTACGGTAAAGCTAATATCTTGAAATGTGCGAGTCAAACTCACATGAAATGCAGTGATATTAGTGATATTAGTGATATGTGTAATTTGCATTTGAATGAAACTCAATGAGAAGTTAACATTTAGCTTTCTTGTTTGTGGACATTGAATGTCAGTTTATACTGATTATAAAAAAAAAAAGCCAATAAAAATGTCCACAACCAATGTCAAGATATACACTGTAGCATGTATTGAGAATTTTAAAGCATGAATCAATAAGAACAAAAACTGGATGTTATGCCATGAAAGGATGACTAGATTTCTCATTGAAACTCATTTAAAGGATTATGATTTTAAAAGATACATGTATACTTGATTGTGGTTTATAAAAGCATTGAAGAAACACTAAGAATTAGATATACATGTAGTTAAAAATATTAAGTGTTAGCAAAACAAGTAAGGAGTTCTAAGGAGTTCTGTTGCCTGGTAACAGTCCTATCATTCCAAGGGTTGTCTCCCATTCCGTAATAGTCTGGAATTTCTCAGATTTCACATTTAATGGTCAGTAGGTGACTGATGTTGATTGGCTAATAAATATCATTTTTGCATTATCCCTGGTATTAGTGGTGCATGTATTTAAGTGAATGACAAAGTAAGTTTTATTTCATTGATCCAAAAACAAAATCAAAGTTGAACTGTAAATAGCTCCCGTGTTATCAGAGCATGTATTACAAAGGTATAGGCTTTGCCTAATAAGTGAATGTAATTGCATGTAGGTCAATCCATCTATAAAATTGATCAAGATGTCTGACTATCTATGACATACTATATATGGAAACACATGATTTTGATATGGGCATTTTGAAAAACATGCAAGGACACTATACTTGTAAACAAAAGGCACTAATGAGGCACTCTATGAATGAGGTCAGGATTTGTCTTGTCTGCAGTTGAATAATTTTTGAATTATTGAAAAATTTTGAAATACGTGAACATGTAAAGTAACAACAGATTGTTTCCTTGACAGATTCTTGAAATTAAATCATCAAAATAGTACAACTAAAAAGTCAGTACAACATACCTAGAACAGATAAATAAAAACATCGTAGTTTAATGTTCGTCCGGACTTTGAGCCCTTGAAAGTAAGTGATCCAGCCCTTACATATGCCAACAATTGAAATTTGTTTAATTGCTATCAAATTGACGCTCGGAAAAAAAAAATTTCATTTGTGAGACATGCTTTTGATACAAACCGAAGCTCGCGATCGACCCTACACAAAACTACCACCATTTTGTCTTCCTTGTCCTCGTTCGGCAAAAACAAAAAACTTGCATATTTACACTATATAGAATAAAATAGGAATCAACTGCTTCGTTTTATTTGAGTAAGATAGAAACCATGCGAAAACAAATGTGAAACATTACAGTCTGCTCGAGGAGAAGACACTGGGAGTCGTGTGCAAAGAGATTGTTTACAAATTAGATCACATTGGAAGTGCTTTCAGTCACGTTGTGTAGCTCCAATGCGTAAAATAGAAAATTTATATTTTGAATAAAACTGACAAACTTCCTTGCTGTTGTTGTCGGGTGTCTGCCTTATACATGGATTAAGTGTAGACGTGGGGATTCAGCTTTCCTTTTCTCTGCTCATGGTGTCGCAATAGCGGTGAAGGTCAGTACTGGGTTGAACCGACAGCCATGGCCACTATATTTTGAATGATCATAAATAATTTTTGAACCCAATAGTAGTGATCACTGTGATTATTATATAAATTTCATGCAAAGTCTGGAACGATACTGAAAAAAAAAATCGATGATTTCCTTCTATATTCATGCTTGAAAGTAGGCCGAAGTATCCGCAGGTGAATACGTGTATCCAGATAAGAAGTTAGGATCGATCAGTTCACACAGAATTGTATTGTTCTGTTCTGATTCATCACTGCAAAACAATGGCCTGGAAACAGCCCAGCTTGAGGGAAACAGTAAAGTCGAAAGAAAGAACAGTATCGGTCCTGATACCCTTAAAAGATCTGATGAGAACACTGCAGAATCGTGGGCGAAACAAAAGTTACGTGGCTATTGTCTAAGAGACGCAGGCCCAAGGAGAACATTGTACATGTAACCAGCACATTTACGAATCAAGATTGGCAGAAGGTTGTACGGCATCTGTTTTCGATTTTGTATATTGATGAATATGACGCACAAAGTGAAATTGAACTTGCGTTCATGAAAATCGGAAAGGGTAGGGCTTTTTCGTCAAACTGAAAAAATGTCTGTGTCACTCTTGTAACTGCGCATACGTACTGTACTCCCCATACTCGCATACATTTGATGTTTTTAGTCGCTTTTTCTGCTCAAATAACATCATGATATAATAAATCATTATATACTAAAATTCGCAAATTTGCAGACCTTCCAATGAAATATTACCAGTTTTTTTTTGTGACAGAATACGTTATTGCAATATGCAAATTAGGCTACTCACCCTAGTCAAATATTTGTTAAGAAACTTTAAAGACTCTAAGTTATAAATTAATTAAAGCAATAATTGACTACCCGGTAATTAATATGCATGGAATTGCACCAAAATATATTAGCTGTGTGCCAAATTTCATTTGAATTGAAATTGCAGATCTTGAGTTATCAGTGGAACAAATTTTAGTCACAGAGTCACAGACACCGGTACCACATAAGGTCCATTTCACAGGAGCTAAAAAATTTGATTACTGATATACCATAAAAGCTCTAATTCATTTCCCCTCTAATAAAAAGCACTTTCTTCAATGCTAACTCAGTCATATTTTCACAACCTGTTTTTATTATTTTTTATGACGATGAAACATACAATTGTGTTTTGACAAAAGATGAATTGTGTACGTCACCTAATGCTTTTGTGATCAATTCCAACAAAATTCTCTATTCTAAAAACTTTACTCTCTTCAAAACTACCGGAAA